TACCAGCTTGACCTGCTGATTCACGACAGGATGGATCCATACCTTCATGTTATTTACTCTAAATTCCAACCCTACCATCCGAACGTTGCAGCAGAAATCAGGACTCATCAGACCGGGCAACATTTTTCCAGTCATGTCCAATTTTGGTGAACCAGTGTGAATTGTAGCCTCACTTTCCTATTTTTAGTTAACAAAACAGATACCTGGTGTGGTCTTCTGTTGCTGTAACTCATCTGCTTCAAGGTTTGACAAGCTGTAAGTCAGCGATGCTCTCATCCTTCCCTTAGCCTCAGCCTAAAGCAGCTTTCCACTGACATGGGATATCAGCAAGAAATTGCTCATTTATTGGGATTTTCCCAGTAGGGTTTTTGAAATATTTAGACCATGTAGACCAGGGAGTGTATATAAGAAAACAGCCTCTAAAGTGAAACCACTGCGTGTCTCACCTGAGGCTTTACCTAGGGCTTTGTTATGAGTTACAGCACAGTCTATGGTCCATCTTTTATTTAGTTAGTATAGCGAGTTCAAACATTTAAGTGGGAGACTCGAGATGCATCATTAGTTTTAATTGTAATCGATCGCGAGGTAGGTAAGTATAAATGTTGCTGTTTATCTGACATCCGGTCCCCTCACTTTGCTTGCCTAATGATGATGACTTTAAAGAGTCAGTATGCCATTATCTTGCAATTACCACCTGTAGCCACAGTGTCCACTTGTTCAATAAAAGACACAGTCTTGCTTTAAAGTCTCCACTAATGATAAAAAGAAAAAGAAAAGTCTTTCTTCCCTTAATAAATTATTTTTTTCTCAGGGGATGATCTTCACTTTGAACTCGAGGCACTTGTGTGATTTATTTCCTTTCTTCTTTATCTTTTTCGACTTTCTCACCATTTCCCATTCCCCTCACCCTCCTTCCTTCTTGGTTGGAGCAGCAAGGGCTAGAAGTGAGTGGTTCCCCTGCACCGTCTCTCAGCCTGACTGCATGCTGCATGTGACACACTGTAAAACAGCAGGAACAGCGAAGGCGCTGATATTCGCTTTGATTTTTGCAATTGCCTGTCATGTGTCTTGATGATGGGGCAAAGTGCTGACTCTTTTCACCTTTATAGTATGTAATATGTTATGTGCGCAGCATTTTTGCCGATCCCTGTTTCCGAGGCCAAGCATGGATACTTGTTTTTTTGTTTTTATCAGAGCATGAGCTGTGTTGTGATGTCAGTTGTGCCATATGTGAATGGATATGTCCTCTACGTCAGTGCTGTAAGAGTTCAGGTTGTTCCGCAGCTTCTCTTCAAAGCCAGGGAGAAAACACCCAGACTGCAGAGCCTGTGCTATAATTGGGAGAAAAGGCTCCTGCTCTATATTTAGAGATACTGCAATGTCTGGGTGCTCCCCTTATTCCAATGCTTTGCCTTTATATGACATGTTCTTGATGACTAATGGCTTTTTGGCCTGTTAGGGTGAAAGCAGAGACTATCGCAGAACCCAAAATATCCAGAACCTGATCATGTAGATGCACATGTGCCAGTAAAAAAACAACTGTTCTGCATGAAAGCTCCCTGTGCTGCGAAGTAGGTTATCAGATGTAGGTCAGAAGCAGGAGGGATAAAAATGAGCAGAGCTGATGTTTGTTTAATGGGCAAAGCTGCTCAGGCAGCTGCAAGGGAAGACAATTCATGAAGTCTATCTTGTGTCTTCAATATAAGGCCATTACCCAAGCACGGTAAGCAGTACACTGCTATGAAACTTTGAGTAGATGCTAAAGCATCACCAAAACATTCCTGAAGACGAGGGTGGCGACCAATGCAGACACCCGTGCTAGGCAACGAACATTCTTTAGGCCAGTGGGAGTGCTTTTAATCTTGTGCAAGAGCCCAGCTTCCCTCACAGGCAGGGAAAAAACAATATGCAGCCTTTAATCAGGTCCATAGCTGCCCATTTGTTTGCGATCGACCAGGAAATCTGAGCAATGCTTGGATTCTAAACGTAACGCCTGCTTCCCACAGCGCAGGGTCTAACTGTCACTGTTTGAAATGCTAGATTAAGATGCTGTCAGAACGGAAGATGGAGTCGGAGCACCAAGTGCACGCCATGCTCGAGGAGAACGAGTTGCTGCAGAATACTGTGGATGAGCTCCGGGAGAGGACGCTGGTGCTGGAGAAGCAGTGTCACGAGAAGGACCTCCAGGTACGGACACATATATGAAGCTTCGGGGAATAATTGCTACCTTAGTAGATAGTGTACATTATTATTATTACAAATGATTAGAGTGGTTTTAGATTATTTTGCTTTCCCTTATTTTCTTTCATATCTAGCTATTACAGTAGTGGTATAGTATATACACTATTACATCAGTGTATAAACAAGTAATCCCTGTGAGTTTTTAAGTGCATAGCCAACCAGAAAAAAGTTACTTAAAAGAAGGAGAAAGTGAGGTAAAACGGCTTGTGGACAGTGGAGGAGCTGATGAACTCCACTAAGGTTCAGTATTGCATAAATAACAATGATTTTGAACTATCTATCATCCAGAGCTACTCTAATATACTCTAAAAGTATAAAAATATAGAGTTGGAAATGAGATGAATGCCACTGTTAAGTCTTAGTTAACTCCTCTCTTGTGTCCAGTTGCGTCAGAGCCAGCTGGAGCTGCTGGAGGTTCAGGTGTCCCACAGGCAGCTGGCCGCTAGGTTGGAGGAGCTGACGGAGGAGCACAGCCTCCAAACTCTGACCCCCCATCCTTCCAGCCTGCTGTGTGAGATAGAGCAAAGTATGGAGCAGGAGGAGCAGGAGCAGGAGAGGGAGCAGGTAGCGATGTTTATGACTGCCTGATCGTATCCACAGTCAGTTTGTTTAAACTCGCTGTGAGCATCAGGAGTGTTAATAGTGACTAATATCTAAACTATCTTGTCTTGTTGATCAATCAGCTACGTCTTCAGCTATGGGAGGCCTACTGTGAAGTTCGCTCACTTTGCTCTCATCTGCGGGGAAACGATGTCACGGATTCAGCGCTGTCCACTGACTCCTCCATGGACGAGTCCTCTGAGACTTCCTCAGCCAAGGATGTGCCTACTGGGAGCCTCCACACCAGCTTGCTAGAGCTACGGAGGCTCACTCAGAATCTGCTGGATGGCAATGAGTCTACGGTAATGAGCAACAAGCTGGCAGTCAGCATTGTTGCTGTTAGACTAATATTAGGTGTTACCTGAAAAAGTGAGATAATGACTAATTTTGGACTACCAGTAATTTTTGGCGATTTCAAAAGAAGAACTATTTATGTAGTACTGTACACGGCAATACAGCATCTTATTTTCTGTGTGACAAAAGTCTTGAGCCACCGCTTGTTCTCATCAATAGTTCTCCAGGCTTTTCAGAGGAATACTTCTTTAGTTTGCTAAGCCACCTAACACTGCCCTGTGAATCATTCAAGCATAAGAAAGGTACACAAGGAAGGAACCAGTGTTGTGACTACACACAACAGACAAAGAATTCCATTTTAAATTTTATCTTTAGGCCCTTTGGTGCTAGCAGTCTGTCACAGAAACATTTGTTATAACTATTAGATGAAACTTGGCACTTGGTGTGCAGTGTGTCCTAAAAAAATCTGAGGAAACCGGATAAGTGGAAGTGGTGGGCCTAAGCCAGCTTTGTCCAACTCCAGGCCTCAAGGGCCGGTGTCCTGGAGGTTTTAGATAGCACCCTGGGTCAACACACCTGAATCAAATGATTAGTTCATTACCAGGAGAACTTCAAAACATGTTGAGGAGGTAATTTAGCCATTTAAATCAGCTGTGTTGGATCAAGGACACATCTAAAACCTGCAGGACACCGGCCCTCGAGGCCTGGAGTTGGACACCCCTGGCCTAAGCTATCTGCAGAAGTTGGGCAGTGTCCCAGAGTCACATCCTTCAGAAACAGGAAAGACCTGAGAGACGCTGTTCACTGAAGCCCCATCAGAAATGGTCTCAGGCTACGTCCACACGTACCCGGGTATTTTTGAAAACGCAGATTTTTCTATGCGTTTGCACCTTTCGTCCACACGTAAACGGCGTTTTCGGTCACTGAAAACGGAGATTTTTAAAAACTCCGGCCAGGGTGGATATTTTCTAAAACTCAGTTTTTGCATTTACGTGTGGACGAGAAAAACGCAGAAAACGCAGCGTCAAAGGTGTGCGCCTTTTTTGACGTCACACTGTGCGCCAAGTTATTGTTTCGGTGAAATGAATTTCTACAATACTGTTACTGTTAATTGTTCTCTCTGCAGTGTTTAAATGCTTACATATACACACACAGTTACTGTCCCTCCACACATACGACTCGGTTCTGCTTCTATACCCCAGCTTTGTTTACTATTTCCCACCGAGGCTTCTAGACTTCTGATTGGCCAACATTTCTACACAGTTAGGAATATATCGCCACCTGTTGCTTTGGCATGTTCCTAGCAGCGTTTTCCTTCATTTCTGCCTTTACGTGTGGACGGGATTATTTTTTAAAACAAAAACGGAAAATCTCAGTTTTCAAAAATACCCGTGTACGTGTGGACGTAGCCTCAGTTGAAGGGTAGCTGTCAGGAAGCCATACTTAGGGACGGGAAACAGTCTTATGGAGTCATTAATCTAAATTTGAAGTATTTGGTTCAAATTATCATCAGTGTGTATGGAGGAGGCCAGGAGAAAGGCACACTGAATGTCTACAGACTTTCCCACTACTCTGTTTTTATGTTAAACAGGCAATGCTCACCTCACTTTGTCTTTACAATATGTAATGCCAATTTTTAGCATTAAAGAAATCATCATCACTTTACACATGAGTTCCTTTCTCATAAAGCCGATACTGTCCACGGTAAGTCTTTGTTGTAACGTGTGTGCTTTGTGTGCAAAGGGCTCACGGCGTAGTGATGAGGAGGCTCTGGAGGAGCAGGTGAGGAAACTGGGAGAAGAGTTGCGGGAAGTCAGAGAGCTGCATGAGGCGGAGCAGGACAAAACACGCGGCAATGAAGAGGAGCTGCTGCAGCTGCACAACCAGGTAAAACAACCATGTGTGTGCACCATGTATGTGCATGTCAGTCAGAGATTTAGATAATAAATGTAGCTGAAGTCAAGATCCTTTCCTGTCTTTCTGGGGTAATAACGCTGCATTAAGGAGTTTATCATGTCTAACAAGAACACTGTGTTGATGTAGAGCAGCAGATGTAGTCCTCACCCTGTCGTGCATCAGTTTGAATTTGATGCATGCTTTTTCTAATGTGGGACATTGCTTCAACCTTGTTCAACCTTCTCTCTGCCAGGACAACTCACGCTCTCCTGTGGGTTTAAAATGCCGTCTTGCATGATTTAAATGACACAAGCTGCTCACGCACTCCATCATCTGCCGAACTAGGTCAAACAAATATTTCGTCCATGAGCACCATGTTGTCTAACTTTGCCATTAAACCGTGCACCCTGAATACATGGCCTCAATCTCACAGGGATGTTTCATTCGCATTCACTCTGCACGATCCACAGGTGGCGCTGCTCTCTGTAGAGATGCACTCTCTCCGAGAAGAGAACGAGCGAATGAGGACAATGGCTGATGTTCGAGAACCCAGCGAGCAGCTCCAGAGTGCGATCAGAGACCGAGACGATGCCATAGCTAAGTAAGACTCTGCGATTTCACAACTAGCTTAGTCCTTTATCACTACTTCAACAGGTGTTTGCACGGGTTTAGTAAGTTCATTTTGCTGTTGAAAAGATTAAAAGTTTTATCTTTTTACTGTATTTACATTAAATTTATGCCTCAGATCATCAAACAGTGCGACAGCGCTTGAATTTTTTTCAAGTTATAACATAATGAGATGTAAATATTTTCAGCCATCATTTCAGATTTTAATCATATGTTTGATAACTGAATTATCAAGTCTGTTAATCCCTAACCCTAAACCTTATTATTCTAGAGCAGGGGTCCCCAATCCCAGTCCACGAGGGCCAGTGTCCCTGCAGGGTTTAGATGTGTCCTTGATCCATCACAGCTGATTTAAATGGCTAAA